TTTGTTTTGCTCTTGAGTTATTCCTTCAGTTCTGTGTAGGTACAGATGAGTTTAGTTGTTGAAAATGTTAATATATATATTTGTGGTGTATGTATAAGAACATGTTTTAAACAGCTGCTGTAGGGTACCTTTTTTAAAATAAACTACTTGCATAGTATATTTTTTAAAGCACAGAATTGGTGCCAAGACTGGGTGGGGTGTGATGTGCCCCTTTTTTATTCTAATATTATATGATTTGTGTTTTTTTCAACGTAGGGGTTTGTACTAGTTTCTGTTGCAGGGTGGGACACAGGAAAATTCAGTGTGTGTGTGTGTGGAGCCCTACTTGGTTGCCTTCAACTCGAACCAGTGTCTTCCAGAACTCCAGGGAAGTAGCTGCGTTCTCCCTACTCCCAATGCTCTTTGTGCTCCCACGTTTCCCTCTCTTCTCACTTCACCAGGATGTTACTTTGTACAGTTTTAAATTCTGCCTATTTTATGACTGTAGATAATACTCAGTAACCTAATAAACTTTATTAAATATTACCTGGTGGTAGTTTTTATTCAGATTTCTTTATGCTTGGTTTCTACATGAACAGTGAGCTTATTGCCAGGCAGGCAAAGCAAGGGCTCTTGTGGCCTTGTCTCTGCTTGGAAGGAAAACAATTTAAAGGCATCTAAAAGGTGTGTACAGATGGAGGGTAAGGTGCATTGGTACGGGGTGGTAAGGTGTGGGAACCTGAGATTTATGTGAAGTTGCCACCATTGCCTAAAAGATGGAGTTTATTAAAGTCTGTGATGGGACAGCAGCCTTGGGTTCCTGATTTAACTTGGTTTACAGCTGATTTATTACACCATACTCCTATTAAATATAAAATAGATTCAATAGAGTTTCCCTCCCACATTACAGCAAATCACTTCTCTTCTTTCAAAATAAGTTCATAAGCAAATCACTGACTTCCTACTTATACTGATACCTGACTGTCATTTTTCTTAGGGGGGTGGTGGCTAGAAGAAAACAAAATGTGAGGGCTGGAGGGATCCCTGGCCAGAAGAGCAGCACAGTTAATTCCAGAAGGTGCTGTGGAAGGTTAAACTGAGTGTTGGGAGTCATTCCTGTGTGCTTGAAAAATGGCTGATGGATTTCAGTGTGTTCTGGGAAACTTCCCCTGGTCATGAACTTGATTTAGCTCATGTTACTTGGTATTGCTTTTCAGTCACTCCCTACCCACTGCTATAAGTTGCTCTGTTTTCATGTGTTTTGGGATCTGTTTGCATAAGAGACTCCATTCCTGGGCCGTGAGGAGATATGGGTTATTTTGTTTGTGGAATACAACCTGTTTGCTTGCTGGTTGTGCCTTCAGCCTCCTCCACCTGTGCAATGCAGAGATGCCTTCCAGTTGTGTCAGCAGTAAGGTTGATGCAGGTTGTGGAGGACTTTAGTGAAACACTTCTTTTCTGCCTGTGTCTGACCAAGACCAGCTTCCCTTTTGCCTTGCAGTGGAAGGCTGCCTGTGTGTCACTGGCAGTGTGGCTGGAGGGGTTCTGGGACAGCCACAGGCTGGGAGGGTGCAGAAGGTGGGGCGGGTGCAGAAAACTGAGAAATTAGTTCATGCTCAGCTCCAGACACCCAAACAGGCTTGTGTTCCAGCTGCATGGAATATTTGAAACAAATGACCTGCTCAGGGCTGGGAGTCTGCAGTGTTTATGTACAGTGCCATGGCAACAGGGGAGGAAGTCATGAGAAGGGGATTGGACCTGATGGAATCAACAAATGATATCACAGATTAGCAAGTCCTAATAAATCAGTGGCTCTCTACTCCCCTGCTATTTAGTGCCTGTGTCCAAGCGCTGGCACTGTGGCAGGAAGATCTCTGCCTTTTTGAGGAGCAGTAAAAACTGCAAGCCCCGCTTGTATCAGGACTGCCTTGAAAAGCAGCCCTGTTCCACTGGCCGGCATCTCGTCCTCCTGCTGCTGCTGACTCATCACGTTTACGCACATGGAACCATTCCTACATTTTATAGGAGGCTTCTGGCCTTGACAGTTTGCCTGCTGCTGCCTTGCCTGGGCTGGAGCAGTGCTGTGACAACCCTGGTGCTCTGGACAAGCTTTTGGTTCTTCCTGGAGGTCGAGTCTAGAGAAGTGTGCTAGAGGGGAAGTGTTCAGTGGAGGAGTTGATAAGCAAGCATGTCGTGCTCCTTTGATAAAGGGAAGCCTGTACTGGGTGCAGGTGACACCCCTGCACACCTCTGTGCCAGCCAGTATTCCTACTGTGGATCTTTAGCAAAGCTGTGCTAATGTCAAGACAGAAAACTTGGAGGGAGGGAGAGGACAGTTGCCAATTCTCCCCTTTATCTGCAGAATGGAGAAATTATTTCTGAGCTCAACCAAGTTCCCTGCTGGAGCCCAGCTGCAAATCTGTACCTGTCACGTCCTTTGCCAGAACCAAGGCAGTTTTCCCTTTCCCTGTGCCTGAGATGTGCCAGCTCAAAAGGATGTGCGTCATGCTTTTAAGAACTTATTTTGGCAGTCACACCTTCTCTCCTGCATCAGGTAAGACAATTATGAGAAACATTTCCTAGCCCGCTGCCCCTCTTCTCTCCACATGCTTCCTAGGCAGAGCTAATGCTGTTGATCTCGTGCCAAAGACCGAGTTGTATCTGACTGGAGGAGGAAATACATAGTGATTTATTTATAAAAGTTTATTAAAATTAAAAACTTAACCCAAAGCACAGCCTTTCTTGGCTTACAAAGCGGTGCTGGGGGGGAACAAAACTCATTCAGCGCTCGCACAGAACACACTGGAGCACTGATCCTGCCTTTTGCACATGTTTTGGTTCGAAACTATTGCAGGCTTGTCTGCCCTTCAGACAGAAAACTATTTGAAGCAGCTGCCAGATGTTTTGTCTGTCCTGTGTGTTACAGTTTGCTTGCTGCTGAGCAATGCTCTTCCCATCGGGTGCTCGAGCTGCCCTCGGGAATTCTGCTCCAGTGGCACCTCCGTGCTGGTTCCCCCCCCCCTTCGCCCTGGTCACGTTCACACAGGGCAGATACGAATCTGAGTGTTTTACTGCCAGGCTCGGTGTCTGCTGTGCAATCTGCTGGCCTCGTCTGGGACCTTCTCTGGGACTAGCACAGACCAGCCACATTCCTCTGCTCACACGTTGCCACAGTGTATGAAAGTTAAGGTGATTTACAGTCTCTTTTAAAAGCACTCGGGGCCTGAATTTAGGCCCTGCTGAACAGCCTTACCCTGAACACCCACAGTTCAGGGCCTGGGCAGCCTTGTCGACTGGCTGGAACTCAGAGCTGAGCTATAAATCTTTTTCCCCCCCTATAAATTCTCAAATACACTGAAGTGGGGCAAAGACCTTTGTGTTTTTTCCAGAACTGTGATAAATTTGACTCGGTCAGAAGATGTACCTGCTCAGCAGAGATACCTTGAGAATTCCAGTGTGTTTGCCTGGCCCTTTCACGTTGTTTGTGTAATATACACGTTATTTGTGCAAAACACACATTATTTGTATAAAACACACGTTATTTGTGTAAAATACACATTATTTGTGTGAAGTTTCTCAGCTGGGAGCAGTCCCCCAGGCCATCATGTTTCGAAGCACAGGCCCTTGGCTTTCTGTGCTTCTGCACCCACTCGTAGTCCTGCAAAACCACATCTATACATCTTAGGGCAGAGTCCTGGTTCAAAGGGGTTTAACCTGCCATTTTTCGTTTTGCCCAGGCTTCCATCTTTTAGTAATCAGAGGGCTCGTGCCCACACTTTCTGGGCACACATTGCACTTGCCCCTAACACCGTGTATGGCTGTTCTGCAGTCAGCAGCTTCTGGCCCAGGGTGTGCAATGGTGACACAGGCCAAGCAATTGGTGCTATTTCTGGGTACCCTTCTCCATAGCACCTTGTTTGTCCTTGGGAGCCCCATAAATGCCTGTTCTTACCACAGTCTGTCATTGTTCCCTCTCACAAGCTCTTGTTAAGCCATTAACTATTATTTAGGAGCGCCTAACAAAGTTTTACTGTCGAAAACCTGCATAAGCAAACAGGCTCTCCAGCTGATTATTATAAAGGTTACATGGGCAGGCAAGAAACACCTGCCTGAGCTGCAGTCCCCTAGGACACAGGTGTTGATATTTTCTTTTTTTTCCTTTTATGAAAAAATACTGAGGGTTTCCCTCAGTGGAAATGGGTCTGAACTCTTTGTTCTCTTGCTTTTCCCAAAACAGGACCTTTGGGAGTGCAGAACTTTCTCATAGGCTGCAGGTAAAAATGCCATCTACTGAACCAGTAACTTAATTTCCTGCAACAGGCTGGATGTTTTCTTTGGAAGAGGACCACCTAATATTGATAAGGTCTGTTCCCACTTAATCTGAGGTCCAACTGAGAGGCTTGAGAAGTAACAGCTGTTAGTCCTAAATATGATCTGTATTTTTCAAACTGTCTAGACACCTGGGTGGGTTGCACACACATATTACCAGCAAAGCTAGTTAATCATGTCAAACGTTTTCTTTCTCTAAAGGTTTGTTTTGTTTAATGAGCTATATAGAAACCCAGGGGAAGACGGTGAATCAAGCAGACAAGTGAGGAAATTTGATCACTAAGGCTGACACTTGGACATTTTTCATTCTGACCTGGGATAGACAGTGCATTTCAGGAGTTCAGGAGTTATTGGCTGTGGTGTTTGATAACACCACTGACACAGTAAACCCTTAAAGCAGTGAGCTGGGTGGATGTTTCACATGTGCTCTCTGTGAAATGCCATTAAATGAAAACTGACTGAAACTCTGCTGCACAATAGGAAGTTACAGCAGTGAAAATCACATTTACAGAATGCCAGAAATTTAAGTTTACAACAGATTTTGTAAAGGAAAGCCTAGAAGAAGGAGCACTCAGAGTCCTTATGCTGCATCCTACTTGGATAAATACAAATGTTTTCAATTAATGTTCTTAGAGATGCCAGCTACCTATTCCAAAGTAAAGTGCTGCGCGATAAGATCCTTTTTATTGGGAAGGAAAGAAGGTGATTCTTCATATGCAGTCTGACAGTTTTATTTGCATTTTGAAAAATAGTCAGAAAAACGCAAATAAACCTGAAGTTTAAAGGGGTGAGAGACATTTCTGGACAGGAACCCACCCTGAGAAGCTGCATCCTGGAGTTCAGACACCCTCGAGGTGGACGTGCAGATCCACAGGCACGTGGATCCTGGAGGGTGCCTGACATTTACAGTAGAGATTTGTGGCACACAAGAGCTGTGTTTCCTTGTGTTTGTGTTTGCTGACTACGTTTTGAGCTTCATGATCATGGCCTTCAATAGAATAAAGCTGTTCTCCTCTTTCAGGTTGCCTGGCACTGGCACTGCTCACAAGAACTTTTCAGTAAGCACAAGGCGTGTGTCTTTCTCTACAAACAGCAAATGCAAATAGAACAATACTATGGTCGAACAGGTGGAATGTTTGCAGCATAAACAAGCGTAAGAACCCCAAGACAAGCTATGATGCATTTCCCAGGAAGTTTAACCTGGAGTTTAGAAGATTTGAGCACCAGCCTGAAATGCTGTCTCCCCAGATGGGTGTTAAAATAGTACTTTCAGGAAGGTAGGAACACTGAAAGAGCAGATCCAGCTTTGGAAGAAGCCAGGGTGCAAAAAGATTGTTGGTCAGGAAAAGCCTTTGACATGTGAATCTTTTACCAGATGCATTTGGCAAAGGTTCAGAATCGTGATTGGGAAGACAAAGAGGGGGAAGAGGTTGAGCCTGGGGGCCGGTTGAGTGTTCTGATCGTGGGCTGAGCTGTTTGGCTGGTTGATAAAGCTCTGTAGGTACAAGTTGGCAACTGAGGCTGAACCTGCAGTCTTGCTGCCTCTCTGAAACGACAGGGCTGGGTCCCTGAGCAACACTGAGGGTGATTTGCTTTGGTTGTTTTCCCAGTGGTCAGCGGCTCCAAATGGTGCTGGAAACAGTGTGAGAGAAGCAGCTCGCTGCAGACTGCGCTCAGTTCCGAAATTCTCCCAGATGCCTTTCTTGCCAAATTCTCTTGGAAAGAGATTGTGTAATCAAACGGGGTTGCATGTAAAAACACACTTGTGTACGTCCAGGCGTGCAGGGTATTGCCAAAGTGGACAGACTGTCCTGCCTGTGCCTGCCAGAAAAGTTGTGTTTTGTCCAGCGGAAAGGAAAACATCCTTTTCTCTTTGCACTTTGGAATTTGTCTTTTCAGACTCTGATCTCATCAGCAGAGGCTTCATACTATGACAAGTTTGGCCATCTTGGGTCAGGACCACAGTCCAGCAAACTGAGGCTTGCACCAGTAGCCAAAACTCAGCTGTTCTCCCCAGAAAGTGGCCTTCTTGGTAACACGGCAGATGCTTCCAAGATTGCAGGGAACATCCAAGAAATAAAAGAAGCTGATTTGAGCACTTATTTGTAATATACAATGTTTTGTGCTAGTTGTTCTTTGAAGACAGCATCTGCCTCTAAACAAAGGACACAAGGAGGAGTGTTTCCTACCTAACATGTTTAATAGCTGAATGTTGTTGGAACACAGGCAGTTTGCACCATGCTGTGTATGAACTCTGTATCACAGAAATCAGGCACGTGCTCTAGGTGTGCTACCAACAGGCATCTTTCTTTCCAGGCTGTCCCACGTAGCTGGAAAGGCTGATTTTTAAAGAACCCAGCAGCTGAATAGAGTGACATTTTTCCTATGTGTTGCTTTAAACCCTGGTCCTAATTCAACATTCATCTTTTATTTCCCTCTTTCCTGCTGTACTCGCTCAAGGGGTGGGAGCAGATGGAGCTCAGAAGTGTGTTTTGCTCTTTTTCTGTTTAACTCCATGTCTGGGAACCCCCTAAACTCTGTCAACTGGCAGTGTGAGGGGCTGCACACAGCCACTCCTGAGTGTGGTGGCACTGCCTTGGTGGCAGTGGAAGGGCAGCCCAAAGGGCTCCTGCTCTCTACCTTCCTGCTTTTTAGTTTTTGCTGCAGATGGAAGCACAAAGATTGCCAGATGTCAATGTCAACACGGCGTTTTGCTCCATCTCTGGCATTCAGAGTCTCTCTGTGTGAAAATACAGCAGCTCCCAGTCCCAAGGACATCCTTGGAAGGATAAGAGCTGCCCCTCTCCGGTCCCACTTTTCACTCGTGTGACCAGTTTGTTTGGAAACTTCTTTGCTGTGGGTGGTGGATGGGGATATGTTTAAAGCAACCAGACAAAGGTGGGAGGAGAGGAAGCAAAAGGAAACACTCTCCTGAAGCCAAATTGTTTTGGGGCGCTGCTGGGAGGGGGAAGTTGTTTAGTTTTGTTTTCTGAAAAAACGTCCTTACAGCCAAGACAAACAAAGATGCTGCTCTAGATCTTGTTACCTTTGGTCTCCTTGGGCCCCATGTCAATTCCCAGATTATTTTTATGAACTGTTTAATCCAGGGCTTTTATTTCACCTGTAAATAAATGGTATTTTAGATTCCAGGGCAGCTTCAGATGCTAATACCAGCTGTCTAGACAAAGAGTGGCCCACGAACATGATCGTAAATAAAAATAGTCTTGGGGCTTTGGTTTGGGTGTTTGTTTTGTTTTTTTGGTTTTTTTTCTTCCTTCTCTTGTCCAACTTGCAGAGGGAGACTGGCAGGAGGGGCTGGCCGTGTGAAGGCAGGCACTGCACAGTTCTCACCTCCTTTGCCATCTCCTGCAGGAGACTGAGCTGGCTGGGGCCATGCCAGGGGATGCTTCGTGCCTCAGAAATGTAGATATTTCTAGATAAGGAGCTGGGGGATGGAGCTCACATTTACGTAGTGCATCTCCTAGGTTTCAAAAGAGCAGTACTGCAAATGTTTTTGTGCCTCCCATGGCTTTCACTGTATGGATCTACAGCTGGATTTTCCTGCAGGAAGGAGAACTTTCTTGCATCTTCTGTTCTGTCTCACAGCTGTGCAGACCCGTTGTGCAGCACTGCCCTGGACTGTTCTCCCTTTGTAGGGGTGCTCCCTCTGACATCAAGACTTGTCCTGTTAAGTTTAATTTCCTGACTTTATTAAAGAAAGCATTAATACTTGCTTAAAGCACGTACTGATCTCTTCCTAATGGCAGAGCTGATGCCAAAGTGCACCGTGGGCTGAAGAAACAGATCATTTATTCCTGCAGCAGTGCTGTTAATCCCATTCCTTCACATGCTCCTAGGATGCTGTGTCACAGATGGATGGGGATATGCGTATTCCTGGCCCACTTTTAGGTGCTTGACCTACCTTTTTATTGCCCAGATCCACAGGCAAGGAAAAGAGGAGTGAAAGGAGAGGTCTTTTAAAACTGGTGATGCACAAGCAGAGTGGCCTGATGGCCTGTCCTGCACTTGGTGCCTGTCAGGGCCCCAGGCAACACTTCTTTTCCAGGGACCTGATTAGATCTCCCCAAAAGGCCCCTTCAAGAAGGAACAGCCGAGCAGAAACCATCTTAAAGGAACATTTATCATTGTCCTTACACCCGGTGATGACTCATATGGCCTTTGCTAAACTGTGTAGAAGGAATGGAATTTATTGCTTGACTCTGGAAGACAGGGCTGGGATCCAGAGGGGCATCCGCTCGGAAACTGCTGCGCTCTGAGGCAGACAAGATACTTGTGCGTGGAACACATTCCCTTCCGATTTCAAATAGCGCTTTTATAAAAAGCAGATGAGCGAGGCTGCAGTGAAGGGCCAGCACGCTCACACCGACGAGGGATGAATGGCACACAGCAGTGCCTGGAGATCAGAACAACGAGGGCTCGCCTTACAATTTTAATGCAGTTGTGATCAGGAATGGATTTGTGCTAAATCCCGTTGATGTCAGTCGCAAAGCTCGATTTTGTGCTCGCCTTCCTTTAGCCTCGACCCAGGAACTTTCTAAATTCGGGTTTTAGCACCTGCTCCGATTTAAACCCTCACAGAAGTGACCTCAGTAAAGAACAGTTGACTTATCTTTGCCTGTTGTTACCCCCAGTTCAAAGCTGGTGTCCCTGAAGGGAGACTGTTGCAAGAAAAAAAAGAAGGAGGAAAATCACAGAGCTTAGAAAGTTCTCAGTGGGTTGCTTTTCTCCTGTCAAATAAAGGGGTAGATACCCACTACAGAGAAATAAAGGTTAACATTTTCATGATCCCTTTCAAACGCTGGCAGAACCGTCCTCACACAATCATACTGAACATGGATCTTACTTTAAAAGAGGAGAAATTATACAGTTTGATGGATCCTGACCAAAAAAAGAAATTCAAGACTTTCATTTGGTGGGAAATGTCAACATTTCAACATTTTTCCAACACTGTCATTCTTAAGAAATCCCCAAATTCCTGCTCCCAACCAGCCTTTCTGGCCAGCAGCATTAGACACAACACCAAAACCCAGCAGAAAGGGTGTCTTTTAATAGTGTACACACACCATGTTTATAAAACCTGCACTTTGTTTTTAATTGACTCTTCCAGAGGATGTACAACTTCCTCAGCATTTCATTTCCATAGGTTCTCCAAAGGCTTGGGGTATTCCAGGCTGGATATGAGCCAAAACGACCATAAATCAACCATGGTGAGAAGTTCCCTTCTCCTCACTGTTGCTTCCCCACGACAGCATTTTGGGGAGCATAATGTTTTCATTTTCTTTTCACCACTGGCCTCTGCAGGGTCCTTTCTTGGGTGCTACAGCCTCAAGGAATTTTTAACATAACCACTCTGTGCAAAAGGTTTGTGTACTCCATGTGTACCTCTGGAGCCTGCTCTGGGAAGTGGTGCTGTGATGCAAGGCCAGCGATGGACACAACAGGGAGCTCTGGTTTAGCATCATTTTGCTAGGCTACAGCTAGGATGCAAAATCCAGGACTAGAGCTTTGTTCTGAACAGAAATGTGTTAAAGATAGGCCCTGGAATATGTGTGAGAAAACCCAGAAGGGACTTTTTTCCTTGGAGTTGAGACAAGGAAATTATTTGGACTTCTTTTCTGACATATAAAGGCCTGGAAGGTTGGGGTGGTGGTTTTTTTTCATTCTTCTGGGAAATAGTCTGTCCCTTTTAGCCTTTCCAAAAGGTGACAGCAAGTAGCAGAAAAACTATGAAGGTCAGGAAGACAGCAGCATTTCTCTGGGCTGGTATGGTTTCTAAACCTGATATGTATTACTACAGGGCAGTGTCTGGCTGGTGAACCCACAGAGCAGATATATATAGACCAGGAAAACACACACGAGTAATGAAATATAAGTGCCCTACCATGGGATGTGGTGCTTCTGCCAAAACAGTGTCTGTCTCAGGGCTGCCTGGTGCACAGTTCTCCAACAGAGTCCTTCAGTTCAATCCACGGTAGGGCTTCCTCCTCCAGACATCAGCTTGGATCTGCTGCTTTTCCTCTAGGCAGGTGAGGTAAGACCAGCCAGGAAGCTGGTGCCATTAGTGTTGCCTCACAAATTTCCCCAGTTTGCTAGAGCAGAGGAATGGTGAAGGGAAGGAGAATGAGCAGATGGATTTTCCAGGTAACACCTGGTGAAAGAGGGACGACAGAGTCTCACTGAGAACAATGGGTTTGTTTTGAGCTGCTTGTCAGGAACTGACCTCTTTCCCCTCTCATCCTCTAAGCATGGGATCCTCGAGGTTCTTGTTTTCTCTCTGCTCTCTCACCCTCAGATAAGGTTTTCCTCTCAATGCAGTGACATATGCAGTGTCCATCAGGTCTCCTTGACATAAATGCCTCCAGGCTATGTCCTTGCTGGTGTCTCATGGGCGTTGAAAGAGTGTGAGAGTGGATTCCAGCTGCAGAGGTCAGGTTATAGTAATCCCTCTCCTAAACTGCAGACAGCCCAAGGCTTTTGGCAGATACGGTGGCTATGTCAGGGTGGACGTGTTTAACTCCCTTTCGCCCCACCACCTGAGCACTTCACGTGGGAGAGGCACATTAGGAGATCAGTTCTCATTTGGGCTGCAAGGAGAGGAGGAGCAGCTCTTGCTTGAGTTCTGACGAAGGAAAATGCAAGTGCAAGCCTGGCGGGGAGGATACAGCTGCATCCTCCTGCGTGTACGGCTGCAGCGGATACGGCCCTCCCTGTCAGGGATCTGCTGCTGCTCTGCCGGCTGCTCGCTCCGGAAGCCATGGCCATGATACACCCACTAGGAATGAACATTGCTCACAGCCTCTGTAATCAAAATATAGTCTGAACCCACAGTTACAGCCTGTCCCCTA